CGATGGCCACGTCTGTGTCGCTGGAAGGTCGTGGTCGTCGTCGTAGAATAAAGGAAGCCCGTGAGAGCTCGCTCCGAGGAGTTGTGGAGGCCCGTAAGAGCTCACTCCGAGGAGTAGCGGAGGCCCGTGAGAGCTCGCTCCGAGGAGTTGCGGAGGCCCGTGAGAGTTCACTCCGTGGACAAACAGAAGGACCCTGCAATAAGAGTCTTCTGCTCTATTACCGTGAAGGCCCAGGGGGGGGCTCACTTCACGCTATCAAAAAGGTGATCTACTAGATTCAGAGGCCTTAGAAGCTCTCTCTGAGATTCTAGATTCGATGTCGATTGCTGCGTGGGTGGCCTCTTATATTGATCAAAAGTATAAATATATTTCTAGTTAATATTCCATACGTAGTATACAAATCTGAACGTTTCGGCTATCTTCAAGCCATCTTCAGCAGTCTCCATTATAACAATAAATTAATCAGTTCGCAATAATGAAGCCATGGGATGCAGTAAGTAAGTCTCTCAGATTGCCACGTCTGGAAAGTATGTAACCGTCAGTTATAGCTAATTAACTAAATGCGAGCTGTATCAAGAATGAAATCATTAATAGACAGTCATTAAAAACGTAATAACGGTTTCATATGAAGACTTACCTCTGCATACCATAACCACCAACATTATAAATTAAATAATTTAAAAATATTAATAAATTAGAAATATTCGTATTCTTCGTTTTAGTCGTTCTTTATTTGATTATATTTCAAGAGCCCAATTAGAATCTTTTTATTTGTTAAGAAATACAATGTCAAGAAATGGTCAAGACAAGAAGAACGAAATTTCTTGTCTTGAAGATCAAGACAAGACAAGAAATGCTCTTCAAGACAAGAAATCTTGTCTTGATGAAACACTAATAATATCATATAGCAATGATATTATTAATTCGTTATTGATAATATTTTATTATTTTAGAGATTGCTATATATATATGTATATAAAATAGATTCGTTTGAGAGATGATTTTATATTTTTAACTTTTAACTTTTCTAAATTATTAGGAAAGCGAATTTAATTTTGCATTCTTCGCATATTTGTCGAGCTACTTCAGGTTTAAACCAATTTTATTTAAATCTTTATAATGATATATCTACCTGTTTTTTCCGAAATCGATCGACTGTAAGTAATGTGTGTCTGACACACTTCTCCCGACGCCCATGTTCGAGTCACCTAGAACGTCTGCTCATCGAATTGCCTGAGGCGGACGGCGTGCGATTGCCATGCGTGTCGAGGCGATGAGCACGAGAGCCACGAAATTACGCGAAGGGGTCCTGGATTGTCGGGCCCGTGAGAATTACCATTTCTCGGCTCCGAGGTAAGAAATTCTCACGAGTCACACACACGTGTGCACGTTCAATTCTCGTGCGATTCTTGCGAACTGTAACGCGAACGCGACTTTGTCGACGACCAACGACTTGCTGTGGGTAAAGCAAATGTAACTTACGGGAATTTAGATGTTGTCAGTGGAAGAATTTTTATTCTATTTCATTAATTAGGGTAAACTAAAGTATTATGGACATACGGAAAAGATGGCCATAGGCCATAATTTCTCCAATAATTGATAAATAGTGCGTTTTTATAGTCATTTTTAAAGATAATCAATATTTACAGTAGTTCATATGAGTACACTGTGTTCAAAATAACAATATTATAAATATTATCTAATATTTTTTCTTTCGACTATCTGCAAAGTTTTGCACGTGTCTGCTAAAAACTGTTACAATGTCTAATAAATTACAGTTAAGCTGCCATAATCAACATTACATACACAATAAAAGTACGTAAATTGCAAAGTGACCTATAATTGATACTTTTATTTTTACTACTTATTTATAAATACTATGGCTATCTTTCTTAATATCATGGCCATCTTTTCCCTAAAAATCAGATAAGATGGACAATGCATACTTTGTAATATTTTGATAAAATTAAAGTTCTGTTAAGTATTTTCTCTTTAATTTCGATAGTATTTGTTACTTTAAGCTTCAGTGAAAGTAATATCTCAAATATTGTTAAAAAGTAACAAGAATTAATGTATGTTTTTTGCATTTTAAAAAACTATGGCTATCATACCCGAGTTTACCCTAACTGCAGGACTAATGAGAGACATATTTGTCTGCACAGAAAGGACGGATTTGCTCGCTGAGAAAAACTTTTAGTTGAAAATGAACGAACCAAAAGATTCTGATCAATTAGAATTCTGATTATCTTAGAATTTTAATAGATTCAATCAGAAAATTTTGATTTATCCCATTTTCAATCGGAATTCTTATTAATGCAACCAGATTCTTTTTCCAATACTGTGAAATATCTAAAAATTTAACTAGCTACAGATTTAAAAATAATAATGTTGAACCATCAAA